ATGACCATAATCAAAAATAAATATGGATCCAGGCTCAAAATGAGCAGCTTGATATGTTCTTGAGAATTGCTTTGTCTCCATTCAAACCCAGGTTTAAAGCCTTGCAGGGCAGCCTAAAACCCACTGCTCTAATTAAGCCATTGCCTCAAAAGGTTGTGCAACAAAATATTGAATTAAGGATACCATATTTTCTGCCTTGGCCTGTTTGATAAGTTCCTGTTTTGTTAAATCATTCCGTTGGACCAAGATGGATAAGCAATGTGTGACTTTCATTTGCTAACTTTCGTAGAATTTTTATTTATTATTACTTTTGTCATTGTCAAGTTATTTCTGTGACCATAGTGGGTTTTCTTTCATTCTTTTACTACTAACAATTTTGACTAAGCCAATTTGGCAATCAAATTAAAAGGGATTTGAAATCAAAAAGAATAAATCATTGGAATGTATGTAGAGTTAGGTAACTGAGAAAATATAGCCTGTCAAATTAACAATGTTTTATGTAGATATACCAAATATTGATTTATTCTGACTTCTAGCCTCCATGATACATTATATCGATTAGCTGAATGGATAAAATCAAAATTCATCCAAACAAACAACAAAAATTCTTTCTATACCACCTTTCAGGGTCCTGTTTGGCCTCCTTCTGTCATGATTTGATGTGGATGGATGACCCAAATACAGAGGCAGGAAGGCAGAGATGATTATCTTGCAGGTTTAATAAAGGAGAACAGAAAACAGAGGCAGGAAAACATGAAACACTAAGTCCAAAACAAACTGAAAACCAGGAGTCCAAATATCCAAAAATCCCAAAAGCAAAACATTAAAACAAAGTCTAGACAAACCAGTAACCATAGAGACTTCAAGGGGGATCCAATCTAGAAGAGGTAGGCTCAGAGAGAAGGAGTTGGAGGAAGTAGACAAGGTTAGACGAGGACACAGCAAAGAGGAACTGAAGAGAGAGGGGTTTTGAAGGAGACTGAGACAAAGAGAGGGCTAATGAGGAAACTGGGAGCAGGTGTGCACAGAACAAGAGAGGGGAAGAGCTAGGGAGAAAGGAGAACATAAGAGGGCAGCAGAGGGCAACAAAAAGATACCTGGAAGACTGAAAAATTAAACCACTAGGACTATAAAACATGGAGGAAAGAAAACTAAACACTCAAAAGAAAACATAACAGCACGTAGACTAGGACAGTAACTGGGAAAAAAACAAAGAACACAGAAAAATAAAAATAAAACCACTAACACTAGAGAACAAGGAGCAAAGCAAAACTGGATACTCAAAAGAAAAAACATAGCAGAAACAGAAACCTCACACCTTCCAGTCCAGATTTTGGCTTAGATCTCTCATCTAAAGACCACATTTATCAGAATCAGAAATACTTTAATAATCCCAGAGGGAAATTACTTTTGTTACACGCTCCAGTTACAGTTTTACATGATATATACACACATCCAACTTTACAATATAATAAAGATAAAAAATAAGAATAAAAAGAGATAATATATATATACACATATAGCCCTTCTGTATATATATCTGTACGTATATCTATGTATATGTAAAAACTAAATCTAAATAAAGTGAAAAGTCCAATTAAAGTGAATAAATCCAAGTAAAGTGATACTTGGCGTGCAAAAATAGTGCATAAATGTCAATTAGGGGGGGGCTGAATAACTTGAGGGAGGCATTATAGAGATTGATGACCACAGGTAGGAATGATTTCCTGTGGCGCTCTGTGGTGCATCTGGGTAGGAGGAGTCTCCTCCACAGTGTCAACAGGAACCCCTTGTCTTTGCTACATTCTACTCCTGGAGGTAGCAGATATTACTCTAACACAGTCCAAGGCAGATTTATAGTCTGTATAAACATTATAATAAAGAAATTATGTTTTCCTTAAACATAACATTTAACTTGTTGTTCATCTTCGTACACTTCCTTCAATCAGTTTTTCATATATATTTTACCATTTCTCAGGAAGTATTCAAATATATGTAAAATATCATTAAATCAAAAGTTGAATGACTTTAGGCAGCTGGTTGTTTTCTATAGTTATTATTATTATTACTATTATTGCTATCATTATAGAAAAGGGGAATAGATGTATATGAAAATGAATAAATTAATTTTTAATCAAAGTTATTTTTATTTACTATTTACAATATCCGTTTAAGTGAATGAAGGTAAAACTATAAACCCACAATTTATTTCATTGATCATTCTTTTTTTCACTTAAAAAAAAGCCAGCGGAAAACATTTATCAAGGTAAGTCTGAACATTTTCTGTCTTAGGTTAGCTCTATCCCTGCAGTCAGCTTTTAGTGCCGTGTTTTGTCTTAACCAGTGTGCGAAATACCTGTCAATATTTGGGGGGGTCCCCATCTCCCGATTGTTGTGCAATACCGATCTAAATTTTCTCAATATGCAGTAGGCCTATAACATTTCAAAGTCAAAGTCAGCTTTAATGTCAATTCTTCAGATTCACCAGACATACAAGGACTGGAGAGGATGTTTCTCATTCACCAACAGTGAAACCGATAAAGTGCACAGGCACAACAGATAAGATCAGTTCCTAATACTAAAATTTAAACATTCAATTTCACAATAAAATGTAAAATGTACAATAATATAAAATATGCAAAATATGTCTGTCTGTCTCTCTCCTTCATGCACGCACATGTCCTGCTTTAATCCAGTTTATGATGAATTGAACTGGGTCGAATTTGTCCAGAGGAGGTTCGTTGAGGTCCACAAACAGGAGTGAAGACCTGATGTCTTCGCGCAATCTGTTCCGCGTTGCCTGTGTTATTAACTGCGGAAAAGCACATGGCTAATTTGCATACACGAGCAGGATTGGCTGGCTCCACTTCGCAAAAAAACAGAGCATTTTTGGTAAATAAAGGTTTTGAATTTTAATACTGGACATGTTGAGCTTAAAAACATTTTAGTGACCATTAGCGACAAAAAAATATTTTTTGTCCTGCCCTCACTCTTAGCTTAGCAGGTAGATAACCATCATTTCCAATAACCACACCGTTAGCCTTTTCTCTGGATTTATTGGCTGGTATGGATGGATGACTGAGTGGTAAAACTGCAACAAAGAAATAATGTGCATAAGTCTTTGTCTAAACAGGCACAATTCCAAATAAACAGGCACAATTCTCCTAAATAATAAACTCAACATATTTTCTGAATATGCCCAGAAACACATAATGACACAAACAACATGTTAACATTAGCCACTAGCTAGCGGCATCGCTAGCGGCTAGTTAGCGCGTATGCTAGCGTCTTTTTAAACTTCTTTTCTCGATGACCTTTCTTCCAATAAACCTCCAAACACAACATGAAACATAGTAATATATGTACATAAACGAAATACACCCTTTACATCAAATTACATGCTGTACTGGCCAAAAACGCAGCACAGAGAGAACAGATTTAGCTATGCAGTGTTTACTCGTTAAACAGGAAGACACCAACTGCTCAACTTCCGGTGCTTTCAAAATAAGACTATATCAAATATTATACATAAGAAAGCTTATAGTATATAACTTAGAAACAATATGTAAATATGAGCAATGGCTTCCTAAGAAGCCAGAACATTTTATTTTAATTTTTTTTGACACAATTTAAGACCCCCTTTAAATTTTGCATTTGAGGCTTACAGGGGGGCTCATGGGTTAATTGAGGGGGGTCGAGCCCCCCCGGACCCCCTTGTATTTCACACTCTGGTCTTAACTCTGTCTCTGCCCTCCAGAAAAAGCCAAGCTGAACTTCTACCTGCTTATGATGAACACAGTCCGGGTGGTGTTCATCAAAGCTCTGGCCTTCAGTACTGTCCTCACCATCAGAGGCCTGCTCTTCTGAACCTGAACCCGTAAGGCCACTATATATACAGTCTCAAGAGCACCTCCAACAACGTGTTGTGAGGGGAGTCCATCCTTTTCTGGTGGAGAACCATAGGCATTGTCACGCATACGTTGGCTAAATCGTCAAGGTGTGACAGGGGCTTAACTTTTCAGTTTCACCAGGATTTATTAACAAATACATAACAGTGGTAACTACAGTATAGATGCTATACAAGCCAATAGCCAATATGTGGCTTTTCCATTTTGCCATACGGATGCAGATAATAGTAGATAAGAATAGAATTTTCTAATGTTGGTATTACATAAAAATGTTTTTAAATAAATGTGTTATTATGAAAATTTCATAGATCTAAATTAAAGGATGAAATTTGAATACTATTTGAATTAGGAGTTTTAACAATTACAAATTCTAGACAGTGACCTTAATATCGAACAACCAATTAATGGATATTACAGGTGGATAAGTTATGATTTCATCAAACAACTTTTGAGAGCATTCATAATTTAACCCTTATAGGATTTGGTTCTATGCAAAAATAATTTCTTTGCCGCTCTGCTGTGCTGATGATGTCTAAATTTTTTATTGAAACATTTTTGACATAGAAATGTTACACGTTAGCATCTGAAGACCTCTCTTTGTGAAGCCAAGCTAATTAGTCATCACTTTTCAATTTACTGGGTTTTTGGACGGCTTGGGTCAGACAGCTTTCAGGATAAAGACTGCTTTGACTACGATGTAACATAGAGGTTCAGTTTCAGAACAATGTTTTTAAAAGGACAGAATATAAAGCCTGAAGACCCTGCTGTGTATTACTGTACTAGACTGTCCACAGTGAAACAAACAAGTACCAGAGGTATAAAGGATTAAAAAAAATTTAATGTATCCCCCCATTTATTTTTTATGCTTTGATTTAAACATCAATAACAAATTAGCTATGTTGTTAAGAAAAGTCTATCAACAAAGATAATCACTTCCTGAGCCTGACCTACCTACCTCCCTTTGCCAAAAGAAGACCTTTTTTCTTCATTTACATTTCCCCGTTTTTAGACCTGCAGGGGGAGGTATATGCAAACTTTTTCTCCTTCATAAGCAAACCACAGGGAACCTTAATCATATATGAAGAGGAATAGCACAAATATTTCACAGCTCTCTCAACTACTCTGTTCACTATGTTAACTAAAGACACAGTCTGGAGTTTATTCTCTGTAGTTATAATTCAAGGTGAGATATTGACTTTAGGCAAGAATATATATATA